TTTCATACGTGTATCGAGACACATCGCGATTTATGCGTCCTGAACTTGACTCGTTTTCGAAACCGGTTTCACGTTCTATCTCGCTTGGCCGCGGATTATTCAATCGATAACTGTTTCTGAATTTATACATATACTCACTGAATTTTTAGCGACACTTTAAGCGTGATTTATCGATTGACACGTAATGTGGGAAAAAGATGGCATTGATATGCTGAAAATACGTAATATTACCAATTATTTCAAAATACGCTTAACATAATTGCTACGGGAATATTGCGACAAGTGTATTTGCTCTAGACTGTTGATCACGTCCATTAAAATGTTAATTTTCCGTTAATATAATTAACAGTTTCTACGAATACAAGAACAATGCGCCTCCGGGGAAATTAGGAAAATAGTTAAATATGATAAATAATAGTCGTTAGCGAGGGCATCCTTCCTTAAGTGAGATTATTCATTTCGCAAAAATAGAGCGTGCCCTGCTAAGGTAAGAAACGGCAGCACCGAAACAATGAGCTGATGCGCTCTCCGTGGCTGTAGATGGTGGAGACGTGGAGATATAGAACGAGAGAGACAAATAGAAGGAGACGGTGAAACCCACTAAATCAATACTCTGCCATCGCTCCAACTCTGGCTCATCCCCTCGCCTACCCCCTTAGCCCACCCCCGAGTCGTCAGGCCGCTTCTCTCCCGGCATCCTCCTTCACCAGCGTTTCTCGGTTCCGTTCGTTCTACGCCACCCTTCGTTCCACCCCCGTCATGCTCTCGAAGCGAAACTTCTCTGGCTCCGCTTCCATGGGCTACTCCCGCAGAGAGTTTCCTCTACCATAGGGCTGAATTCTCCCTTATGCGTCAGTATAATCTACCCGATGCTCACGAGATGTCCGTGACGCGTGAAAAACGTATATTCATACATGTACTCTCTTTTACAGTTATTTCCTTTATTTTCATCTATTTTCTTCCCCGATGAGGAATCACAATAATGGCGAGTAAGATTTTTTAACGCATCTCTAAACTAACGTATTTTTATTTGCGATAAATAACAATTACGTTGATTTCCTTTTGAAAACACAATAGAGGAAACGGCAGACGTTCTTTATCTTTAGAATTTATGTATTATTTTTCCGTGCGAGTCATGTATGCTTTATGTCGCGCGAGGATGAGGTAGAACATCTTGTTTAGAACGTCTTTATATAAATTGAGCTTTAAAATATTTTGCTGCTGGTCAACAATTAATTAAATATAATACTCGAATAAAGTTTAAATATTCGGTTTTAAACTTTGTAATTTTAAAACGTAATTCTCGTAAAATATTTTAGAAGCGACTGTCGACGAGCTTCACTCTGCACGGATAACGGAAAAGCGATATCGCCGCGTTGGCACGTAGACTGCAGATCCAAAAAGATACTTGCGTGGAATTTTAATTTAAGACTACTTGAAAACGACGAAAACTCTAACAATTTTATGTTCTTTTATGTTTCGTCGGTGATAAAATATTGTGTTTTAACAATTTTATTGCAAATTGTATCCAAATCTTGCATCTGATGATTAATAATTGTTCACAAAATAGAGCACAATGTTTTCCGTTATCTAATAGTGTTTTTTTTCATATTTTTAACAACATATATAAACAACTTTCAAGATGCAGCTCTTTTTAGAATTTAATAGTGCGTCGCTTTCGTCTTTTCACATATTTAATTAGGGGACGTAAGAATTCTACTCCATTTTGTGCCAGAATATAAAATACCGAGGGGGGAACCGCTGAGGGCATTGCGGTGTACAGATTTGCGGCATTACTGGGCATTACTAGGCATTTTTTGGACATTAAGCCTTGCTGGGACATTATAAAGATAAAATAAGATTAAGATAAAACAAGATAAATGAGATAAAATAAGATAATAAGATAAAGTAATGCCCACTGGGCATTAGTGGCGATTGGTGTACAAGATTTTGGTCGGCGGTTTCCCCCTCGTAAAATAACATAAAAAAAGATCCGCGAATAATTGATTATCGGACGATACAACGAGATGGCAATCGAAACTTCAATTCTTCAACCACCACGAAGCTCTGTTTATTTCACGCGGACATTACGCGCTTTATCAACAAACTGGGTCACGTAGTTCTGGTGGCACACACTTCGCGCGACTATCCCCGAACCATTTGCAAACGAATGCTGAGCATATCTACGATCGTGAGATCGTACAACTGGCTGCGTGGCCTATGGAAGAAGTAGAAGGAGGAAGAGATTACTGATTGTGAGAAGGGGCCCGCGCGCCCGCGTATGGGCGTCTGCGTGTGTGCGACTGCCCAAGACGAGGGTACGGTAGTAGCCCCAATGCGTCTGCAATCGAGAGCTAACTGGACAAATAAACGGTTGGCTGCTTCTTACTGCTGACGATATCGTCTTCGCTATATTGATGGCGACTTCATCATACGTCCCGACTTATAACGTTGGAAATGTACAGCGAACTTGGCCGTAAATTTGCACAGACTATTATTCTTATTTGGTAATATCATTGGAAGACACAAATAGTATTTAATAACACCAGTAGTTTAAAAAAAACATGATTTCAGATTATTTGATAAATCCAAATCTGGGACCGAAACGTAACGTGTATTGTTTTTTAAAATAAAAACATTGGCCAGTATAGGTCGTTTAAATCTGATATCGTTGATCATTAGAGGAACGTTCGAAGAAGGTATTACCTTTTGAAAATGTTGCAACTTTGAACGAGAATCTTAAATGCCGGTTTTCGAATGAAATTTGTCGCGTGTATGGTATAAACGGGTGTTCAATAAGTAGCTCCATCTCGACTAATAACGAGGAAAATCCTGCTTTACTTGCTGCTTTTAAAAAGAATATCAAGTAACAAAAAGTCCAATTACACGGCCGGCAACTCCTGCTTTGTTTCACGGCCGCTGCCCGTTGGTTTATGCCCTTCCCTCTCTTTATCTACTTTGCTGCCGTTCTTTAAATTTCTCTCCTTGTTTTTCTTTTCTTTCCTACCGACGTGCGAACTTTTGCTGCCTTGGTAGCTGCCTAGTTTGTGATTTCTCGATGCTACCTCCCTACGCTCTCAGCACTCTCTACAACTTAGTGTCTCGTTAATTTCTTGCGATCCTCAAGACGATTACCGCACTTGTCCGAAAATTTAGCGCTTTCGATGTCCCTTAAATCTCTCGCAGTGAGTTAAACTTGCAATAGCAACTCAGCGTTCCGAAAATACGCTTTCGTGCATACGTCATAAATTCACGTTCTTTTCTTATACACTATTTTTACTTGGAAATGTGATTTTGAAGAAAAAACTTTGGCACATAATTATTCCCAAGCTGCATAATAAATTTCCGTGGACACCGATAAAACATTTCTTTGTCAGCAATTTGTATTTAATATTACGATTATACAAATTGTGACGATGACGTAAGATGTAAAACTTATTGATTGGTACGATTATTGTGCGGCGCGTGTGCGTGTGTGTGCGCCGTTATAAAAAGCGTATGCTAATAATATGTAATATTTCGACGGAACAAAAACCCCGATTAATATTTATAATGTAACGCACTACTTGTGTGCGCACTTTATGTTCCGTATGTTTCACCGTAGCGCGCAATAGCTGTGCAGACCGCGTAACACCACCAATTACCATGTTCCGTGATGAGTCGTAATTGAATAATCAGATTGGTCAGATTTCAGTCGGATTTACTGTTCTTATTGACGAACTACTCTCATGTTTTTGTAATCGGTACAAAAGCAGACGGCACGAGAACAGATCGTTGTTTGCAGTATCAATTTAGTAGTTTCGAGAAATGAAAGATTTTGGTGTAAAGCTGCATATTTTGATAATAAAAAAAATATTAACATTGATAGATTATAAGAGCTGTGTATGCTCCGCAGCCCTGCGACGCATCATCCCCCCCGAAAAGATTTCTGAGCGTTCTCTCTCCGGGTTACGCGATTCGATGCTGGTAGTCGTCTGATAGGATTACGACTACCGTCGAAAGATTGACGGTCGAATCCGTCAGCAGCTTTCTACGGCATGGACGGACTTGGGATTTTCTGCAATTTTCTCCGCGGCCTTCGGCGCTGTAGGCCGTGCACGTTCCGAGGCTCGAAAGCTCGGCATTCAATTCGAATCGCGTACGCTCGCGGTTGATGAAAGCTTGAATGAGTGGCACGTGGATGCGATGCGCGCGAGCACGGCGGTTTCGTTAGCGTGAGCGATGCTATTTTGAGCATTTCTGGGGATTAAAATTAGTTGAACGAAGAAATAGATTCGTGATAGATATAGTTCTTGGCTCTCCCTCAACCGAATACATGCACAATAAATTAAATGATTAAACGTAATTCAATACCTTGACGAAAACAACTATCGTATATCATCCTACAATATGAAGACAGAAGACGAAATATATTATGTCCCAATTTTAATACGCATCGGCTGTCATTGTCACCACCATTAATTTCTCTCAAGACTGCTGCCAGGATTCTTAATTTAGGACATGACCCGCCACTTGGTTGCAAACGTAAAAATATACAGGCGTATAAAACTTTGGAATTCATTCAGCATTAAATTTTGATATTATCAAAACCATTCAGTTGGTATTGCGTAACTTAACAAGCAACGGAGAGAAGGCTGATCAGACGCAATCTGCTGTCCTTGTTGACGCAGAGAGAAACGGCGTGACGGTATATATGGTAGACGCCTCGAGAGTGTCCCGCGGTGCCCCTCGAGTCTCCCCGTGTGCCGAAGACGGACGCAGGGGAGAAGGGACTTGTCGTGGTGCTGTACACAACCACCACCGATGCTGGATCACGGGGGCGTCAAGAGAAGCGAGAGCAAGGAGGTAGACCAAGGGGGATACGGGTGTATCGGGGGAGTGAAGCTTAACGCATGTGCACAGGGCGCTTCGCGTCGCGGCGCTCCGGTCCCGCCGGTCGGAGGCTGCGAAACCGAGCGGGCGGAATTCGCGGATCAGAGTCGTCGCATCTCTCGCTTAAGATATACATCACCGCGGCACCGTCCGCGGTTTTCCATGGGTATCGGCGAGCCGAGAGCCGTCCCGACGCTGGCCGACACGCACCGAGCCCCGCTGAGGACTGTCAATCCTGGACGGGATGCTGCGCTCGGAGTACGCTCGGTGACGAATGATATCGCCCGAAATTACGGTCTTTCGTGCTACGCGACACACGTGCGGTACGCCTTCAAGTGCGACTACGAGCCCAGAGGACCTGCGCTGGCGAGACGACCGTGCTCCGGATCGGCACAACGATCGAGTTCCAGTTAACAGAACCTGAAGGATCGATATTTATTTTCTTGCCACTCTCATTTGAGGAAACTTCCGGGATCATTGTGCTTTAGCGCGAGCAGCATATTAAGCCGCATACTAACGAGAGACCATCGAATGACCAGAGGGAAGTGCGATATCGCGGGGAGCTCCTCGCAGATAGAAACATTCTCGTCTGTATTGACGATTCGTACTGCTTCATCATTCATTTCCGCGTTGTATCTTAACCGATAATAAGAAGCCGACGAAATTCAAGTTGGAAAACGGAGCTCGACCCTGTGCTAATATTAAAGAAGCGTTCGAGAGCTACGTTTTACACCGTAGATCCTGGATGTTGTAAAGTCAATGTTACATTGCGGCCCCATTGTGTACAGTGCGCTGTTCATCGACCTCGCGCGAGCATTACCCTCGTTATGTCTTAAGGAGGTCTAACCAGTAACGCAAGCTTTTGTCAGCAATTTCACCCGAGTGAAGGAGCAACGTGGACGAGGATAATTTCGAATGACCTGATCCGTCTTATGTCGCGCTAAGTCGATCGCTCGCTTATTTTTTATCGTTATTCATCAGCAAGCAGCTTTGTTGGCCAACAAACTATTGCGATTTAGCAATATCCTCTTAAGACAATCTGAATACGGAAGGACTCGTAGCAGCATTATTCGGATCGAAGCTGAAGTGCCAAATACTGTAAGCGCCCCAAGTATCTCGTGTGATTCCTGCAGTTCGTAGGGTTGTGTGCAAAGGTATCGCGGGGGCAAAGTGAGGAAAGGGTGATGGTGAATGGACTCACATGGTTACTCTATCCGATAGACAGTGAGTCTGCTCGAAGGACACATGGTTCGTCGACGGTGTTGGGTTTTTCTGATCCCACGCAGTTTCCCGTCGTACCTGGCTCGGTGACTGTTGGCGAATCTGTTCGCTCTTCGTGGACAAAGACTGCCGAGAAGGTGGTGTGTGAAGGGAAGTACCAGCCACGACGGGGCCCAGCGCCGGGGCGGAGACAAGGCCCCCGGTGCAGGGAAGAAGCGAGGCAGGGGAAGAAGTCGAGTTTAGCGTAGCAGCAACGGCCCTGAAACGACAGGGGAGAACAACTACCCCCTTCAACAGGGGGGAAACTAGAAGGCGACCTCGCCGACGGAGGCGACGGAAAAAGAAGCGACGGAGGTGAGCGGGTAGTCAAATGGCTTTAACTGCATCTTGAATCGTTGTTAAACATTAACGGTGCTACGCTCAATCGCAGGAACCGATTTTATTCGAGTGCGAATCGTACGTGGATTGAATTTTAGTGGAATTTCATAAATATAATAGAAGGTGCGTTTTATAATTGTTTTCTATTGGGGAACGTAAATCTAACTTTTGAGATATAACAATTCGACGTAACTCGACAATTTACATTGAAAATGTTTAGATACGGTCGATCTAGCTTATTACTCTTAAGAAGTACTAATTTTCTATGAAACGTGCGCTTGGCAAGTGATAAAATTATGATAAGTCGCGAAACATATGAGAGATAATGGCGACATTTCAATTAATGTCGGATCATAGTATGTAAAATGCTTCGAGCATCACATTACAAAACGTATAACGGTCGATCACTGATCCCGCCACAATTCGTTATTCACTTTCTGCTTATTCATCACAATTTACATGACCATCGATACGGGAAAGAACAACGAAGTAATGCCAATTTTTTAAATAAAATCTAGGCTCTTCCTTCGTCTCTAATCATTTAATGATACACTCGTGTAATTCGCATTAAAACGATACTACTCTTGTCGGTAACGACTGATTTTCATACAGTGCGTCAAGTAAAATGCACTGAAGCAATTTGTAAACGCGATTGTTCAGTATAGTCGAAGATTAGGTTTTTAGCAAGATTAATGAGGCGAAATTACGTCTTCTGCGAAAGCTGTTATCAAGTCACGCATGAAGTGTGGGATATCTGCACCGCGTGCTTGAAACGTTTGGCGATTCGCTAACCACTCTTAATTGTAATTGATGATACAGTAGATTTCAAGGCGGCTTGTGCGGTCGATGCAAAAAACACAGATTCCAATATTAACTGCAATTTATCCAAGCTTCTTATAGCGGCCCGGTCGCCGGTGGTCCTTTTAACCATTTAGTCCTGGCGTTCTACAATGCGCCGCAATTCCGTTTTTCTTCTGGTGCGTCAACAAATTTCATCGACGTGCCGATCAAATACTTTCAAGACGTAGTACGTGAGAAATTTCTTAAAAAAAAGTCTAGGATATTCCCTTTCATCCTTTAATCGGCCTAAGCAACAAGAAGACTCCCACGATAGCTTTTTAATACTATTACGTCGATATATTATAATTTATTACTTTCACTTTACTTTTAAAGTAAAGTGCTCGCGTATACGCCGATTTAAACTTTGCTATACATTTCTTTTAATTACTTTTGTGTCGAAATTATTTACTTTTAATAACGAAATATAACACAATCCATACAAATGACGCCTTATCCTTCGAAAATTATGAAAAACTACTGGTTTTAAAACCAAATTTACAATGTGCTCTTTGTGCCTAAAAACATTCTATTTTGTAGTCAATAAATACGTTTAAAAAATTTGTGCAAGTTGAGAAATTGTATATTATATTTGTATAATCGTACATTGTCGACAAGTTTTTTAAGCGCTTTGATTTATTTATATAAAATAGAATGTTTCTAGGTGCAGAAAGCGTATTGTAGATCAGGCTTAAAAATTTATTTGATTGTAAGACAAAACACCGCCCGAGTCGAAATTTTGGCCCCATGTTGAACCTTTAATTCTATTTCATAGTGGTAGACATCGTACCCGAGACAGTAAAAGAGGTCGAACTGCAAGTACAAGATTTGCTCCTACTTTAAAACTGATAGTGTAAGAAATTTCTACTTTTGTCAATTTAGCATTAAAGTAGGTCCTTTTAAGTAGGAGCTAAAGTAAATTTTTAGAATTAAAAATTCAAGGGAGGAGTAGAAAAATATAATGTCATCAAAGTAGGTTATTGCTGGTCTATGTAGGTGTAAATTATTCTTAAAAGTGTCACAATAGTACCACAATTTCGACTCGGGCCATCTATTTCATTGGAAGTCGCATAAATATTTCATTGTACTGCGCAAATTGATTGGATTCTTATTTCCAATCGGCCTGGAGAAACATAACATCGACGACAACTGCTGTACGATATTAACACGTTTTTCTCCATATCTTCAACTGCTGACATTGCGACATTTCTCTCACCATGTTATTTTTTTCCGCTGAAACATCGGCGTCAAAAATGGGCTTGGGGTACGACGTCGATAGAATTCTTATCCCTAAAAGCAACGACGCTGGTTGGCCGTGGGTCCCCCTCGCTCGTATTACGTCCCTTCCGCTCGCGACCGAAGGGAGGAGGAAGAGGCAGCCAGTACAGGGGCAGGCAGGCGGGGGGATCGTCGAGGCAGGAAATGAAGGGAGTAGTCTGGGGTGATAGGAAAATTTGATGGAGGGTGGCAGAGTGACAGGAGGTAGGGGGAGAAGGGGATGGGGAAGAGGAGCGGAGGGCTATCAATGACGCGTTAGAGCACGTCACGCTGCGCAATGCATCTGCCGCCATATGCCGTCATATATATTATCCTGGCGATACGTCAATTCGGCCGCTGATCATTATACTGATTACCGCAGCACGCAAACTACTCCGCATGTGTGGCCGTTCTCATGAGTCTGTTATTAATAAGCACGGTTTAACTTTCGATATCGGGACATCGACGGACGGCCGGGCGAGACGGGGCCACTTGTGTTCAGATAACTTCTGTGCAACGTGTTGATCAGTCGCTTAGGACGTAAATAAATTTCTATCCTCCTGGAGATAAATCAGCTAGTCGAACAGCGAACTAGATAATTCATATTGGGATAAAAAGAAAGATACGTGTAATTGTTGAAAGAAAGGCGCGCAACCGTGCGAAATATGCGCAGGCAGACCCGCAGCAGGATAATAAGACGAATTGCAAAGGGAACAGGAAGAGACATGGAGTACTGAAAAGAAAATGCACGAACGAATACCTAGCCTAAGACATAAATTTTGATATTATTTACGATGCTTCGGTTATCTAAGAAAGAGGAAAAGGGAGAAAAGGGATCGCTTTCAACGTTGACGCAACCAACAATGTGCTTTCACGAGATTTTAACTTTCTTTTTCGGTCCACAATGACGCAAAGTTTCCTCGATTTCCTTTGGACAAGCAGGAATACAAAGGACGAAGTTAATACGACAAGCGAATAAGCTTTCGCCTATCCCTTGACCTCGCTTCGCTTCTCATTTTACTTTCGTGCTATTGCATTCGAAGATCTCGTAAATTCGCTCGTTATTACTTAACGATTGACGAATTTGTAAACATGTTGAATTGATAGTCAGAATTCGCATTAAAAGATACATGTGTAAAATAAAAAATAATCAATTAGATTGCGACTGACAATGGAAAAATTAAAAAAAGTTCCCGGAAATTGTTTCGATACCTTCGATCAAAATTAATTTTTATTTTAATACAATTTATAAGAATGTATTCGTACGGTATATAGTCAGAACAGGGAGGATTAATACAAAATTTACATTACTTACATAAAATTTAGATTGCTGATGAATATTATTTCTCTCTTTTCTCTTTTCTTAATAGTATCTATGTATAGCTTAAAACATGATGTAGTTTTAACAATATGCTTTAACATGAATAGTTTTAACATTTTATTTTAATATTCAAAGATAGAATTTATATTTATATTTAGTTTATATTTATTTTTCTTCATAAAATGTTTTGCAAAAAAATATTTCAATCGTTAACTTCTGAGGTATAATTCTATGCGAAAAAATATTATTATGGCTTCGAGATAAATTTTTGTTAAAAAAATTTATATACACAATATTTTACAATTTATAATATCGAATTTTTATGCAATTTGTTAAGAAATGAAATAGGTATGTCTGCTATGAATACGAGAGCTAAAGAAACTAATTTTGAATCGTCAAGAAATATTTTCAACTTTCTGAAGCAAATGTTTGATTCCATGTTGAAAAACCGCCCGGTTATAGCGGGTTTGCGGGTCCAAAGTACATTTTTATTCTGGGATAGAGAGTGAGGCGTATAACGCAGCCGACATCCCTTGTTATTTCTCCTATTTTCCGTTGCGATAAATCACGAATGCCGACGGACGGACTAAGGAAGTAGGGCCAACACGGAGAGAGGGGGATCTCGTTGCCGGACGCAAAACCAAAACCATAGCGGCGGAGAATGTCAACATTCCCGGCAATTTATAGAAGGCAACATTTTAAACAAAAAAAAATATCGCCGTTTATTTTTTTTTTTTTAAAACAAATTCGACATCTCGGATTTCTATAAATTCGGACGAAAAAAACTAACCAAGCTATCAGTTCGCCGGTTATTATATTATCATAAACGTCCATGTTAAGTGCGATTTATGAAACAATTTCCCAGGAATTTTTGATCGCTGTAAGCAAGTATGCACGAATAGTTACGTGATCGATTCCGTCGCAACGCGGTTGCTATTCGCCGTGGTGCAATTAGTGCACCATACATCACGCGGGTAACAAGACACGGCGCCCCGAAGGCGTCGCGTGGAACACGCGGAAAAAAAGAGAGGACAGTAGGAATAAAAGGAAGGGGAGGGGGGGGCGACATACGGGGGCGAGATGGTAGCGACGTGCCGCTCATCGTCTCGAACGACGTTCTTCACGAACAACTCCTAACTTTTTCTCGAGAAAGGGGTCGGGGGGCAGGGACGGGGAGAGCAGAGGATAAAGTCTCCCCTCATATCCTTGCTTCCGTCGCTTCATCTCCTTTCTCGATTTCTCTACTCTAGTTTCTTCTCGGATGCGCCGTTGTTGCCAGAAAACCCGCACGCCATTCATCTTGCGACATCGGACGAAAATAACACGAATTTAAGAAGCTCACGCTCGTAAACAATAAAGGGGATGTGCGCTCCCGTTACGTAAGAGCGTCTGGAATGAAGAAACTATCTATGTGTGGAAGTGTTATTTCTCTATTCCAGCGAAACTCAATTAGTTCCCGAACTCAGTTATTAGTATTACTCGCCATCGTAGAACAATGCAAGTATTGAAGATATATTTGCTGTTACCAACACACTCGTAATCAGTTTCATTTAAGTAATGC